TACCTCTGCTTAAATGGCCACCTGAAGAGGAGAATGTGGGCAAGCAGGGCAGATCTGAACAGCAGCTTCCTCCCAGTCACCTCGCCACCCTCCTTGCAGCACCCCCCCCCGCCTTCTCATCATGCACCCAATCTTAGAAATTGATCCACTGTCCTCACCTGATGGTTTTAGGCTGATGACCAGTTCCTGTTTTGAAACACTCAGACTTCTATGACACTATATAGCAGTACATGGCAACTATTTCCTCTATAGTCTTCATTTCCCACTGGAGATACTATTATACTGTATAAGAGCTACTGGAGAACTATGTGGAAAGGACTTTGGCAGAAAACTTGTTCATTGGGGTTTTCTCTTTGGCAGAGCCAAGGGAGCCCCACAGTCTTTTGTCTCTTAGCACATGGCAATATTTATTTATTTATTTGGAAGATTTTTGCCACTTGCTCTATATTTATAGATATTTATAAAAATGTAACCCTACCCTTTTCTTCTGTTAAATAAAATTTATCTCAGCTTCTCTTAGTGTTTCTTTTTCTGTATGAGTACATAAAAGTATATCAAAATATGAGAATAAAAGGAATTATGGTAGAGGAGCACTAGGAAAATGTAGAGAAAGCAAAGTTTAAAAAAAATCAGAACTTTAAAATATTCCGGGTTTTTCCCATACACAAACGAACTCAGTAATTTTGACTAATTCAGACAGAATTCTGGAAAACAAAGAAAAAATTTTAATCGTGATTGTATTTCTGATCACTTTAGCTTGTTGTTTCCTTCAAAGAGAGAAAAGTTTTTTATTTGAAAAATACCCACAGACATAACAACATCAAGATCCCAGTAACCCTCTGAAGGAAGATGACACATTCTTGGCTCCGGACGAAATAAGGGGAAATGGCCCACAGTCCGGAGAAAATGCAATCACTAGAGACCAGCCATTAGATGAGCCAGATCCTGGAATCAGCAACAGGAACTTTGAAGCAGTTATGATAAATATATTTAAGGATTTAAAAGGAAAGAATGGTACTAAGGAATAAACAGATCAGAGAAAAGAAACAATAATAAAGAACCAAGTAGAAATCAAGAATTGAAAGATATAATATCTGAAATAATAAATTAAGCAGGCTTAACAGCAGACTGAAGATGAAAGAATAGTCACTGAAGATAATAAAGTCAACACATACTCTAATCTGAAGAAAGAAAAAATACGTTAAAAAAAACCATTATGACCAGTGTCTCAATGATTTGTGTGGCAGTATCAAACTGTCCAAAATATGTGTAAGTGGAGTTCCAGGAAAGGAACAGAAAAAGTTGAGGAATATTATTTGAAGATATTATGGCTGAAATTTCCCCCAAATTGATGAAAAATGAATGCACTGATACAAGAAATTCATCAAACCTCAAGAATAAGTAACAAAGGTAATCACAGTCAAACTGTGATTTGGGGACGGCTCAGTGGGTAAAAAATTCACCTGCAAAACAGGAGACACAGGAGACCCGAGTTTGATCCCTGGGTCAGGGAGGTCCCCTGGAAGAGGAAATGACAACCCACCCCAGTATTCTTGCCTGGAGAATCCCATGGACAGAGCAGCCTGGTGGGCTACAGTCCATGCGGTGGCAAAGAGTCGGACACGACTGAGTAACTAACACTCATTTCAACACATTGGAATTTTGCAGGGGAAAGGGCATGGGGTCTCCAGATTGCTCTCCAGTGTTTCAGGGGGAAAACATACACATGAGCCTATAGGACAAAACAAATGGCTCAAAATGTAAGCAAGTGGTGAATCTGGGTAAAGAGATTAATATGAGGAGTTTCTTGTATTATTTTTGCCACTTTTCTGTAGGTATGACATATCAAAAGCAAAAGGTCACCAAAACACACACACACTTTATTGTAATCATTCTCCATTTAATATGCGGAAATAGCAGCTCGGGGACATGAAGAGACTCACTCAACCACAAAACTACTAGAAGCTGAATGCAAGTCTACTGACCACAGATCTTCCCCATGTTACTGCCTGGCCTGACCAGACATTAACCCATCAACAGATAAGCCCCAGCCCTTACAACAGGCACAGAAGCAGGCCTCCCTCATCCCTTCCGCTTTCTGCCCCCTTCTCCTGTGGCCCACCCGGACTTCCCAGTACCAGCGCCCCCCACACCAGTTTGGGTCCCACAGAGCCTGACCTCTCCTCCTCCGTCCGTGTGCCCCCCATCTCCATCTGGGTTGCTCGTCTCCTCCCACAAATGAGCAGAGCTCACTCTTGGGTTTCAATCTTTGGATCCCACCTTCTGCTCCCACCTGTGGGAGCCCTCCCAGCATCCCCCAAATAAAGCAGCACGCCTCCCTCGGGTCTTCCGGCCTCATTTCCCTCCACCGCAAAGAGCAGGTCCTGTGTTCATCTTCCCGGACAGAGTACAGCTTCCACAGGGATGGTCTATTTTTTGTACATTGCTATATATTCGCAGTTCTTAGAATAGCTCTAATAGTTCTTGTTACAGCCTGACTTGCATGCACCATGCTCAAAATATATTTACTGAATGACTAACTGCGATTCCAGTTATAACTGCAACAGAATTTTTCTGGAAATTAATGAACTGATTCCAGCATGTGTACATAATAGAGGTGCTCACCGTACAAGGTATTTGGCTATGAAGCTGCAGTAACTGAGAATGACAGTCTTATGGGAACCCAGTTGTTGCTGTTTAGTGGCTAAGTCACATCCGACTGTTTGTGACCCCATGGACTGTGGCCCACCAGGCTCTGTCCATGGGATTTCCCAGGCAAGTATACTCATGTGCTTTACTGGGTTGCCATTTCCTTCGCCAGGGGATCTTGCCAACCCAGGGACTGAACTCATGTCTCTTGCATTGCTGAACCACCTGAGAAGCCCGCATGGGAACCCAGAGCTCCCTAAATTGCGGCAAAGTCCACTCCCTCTAGCAAATGTGGGTGCATGGGGTCTGACTGAGAATCAGGAGCCAACTGGGAAAAGGAAGACTTGGTAACCGTTCACCACATGGAAAACCTGAATTCTGACTTTACAGTATTCAAAACCAAACTCCCGATGATTTAGAGAGGAAACATTCAAAAAATTCCTTAAGACTGTAAGAAAAAGATTAGGATATGACCTCACAGTAGAAAAAGTTTCTTAAAGACACCCCCAACTCCCCCAAATCATAAACAATAGGGTATATCCCTTTGACCTCAAAATAAAAAAAGACACACATATGAAAAAGGTGTATGGTGGCATACACGAGAGGCAAGTGAACTGGAGGACATCTTCAAAGTCTCCTGTAACTCACTAAGGAAAAGCTACGTGGCTGAACAGAAAGCCAGACCAAGGATGCATGCTGATGATAACTTGCCAGAGAGGGAACCCCATGGTCAAGATGCACACACACACAAAAATGCCCAGACTCCAGCAGTCACAGAAAAGCTCATTAACACAAGGGCATATTCTTCACATATCAGATTAACACAATTTCACCAAAGTCAAGTGTTGCCAAAGTTGTGGAGACCAGGAGCTTTTGAAATACTTCCAGTGAGACTGAAAAACTGCTGTTCTGGAGAATACTGGCTCCTGTCAGACCGGGGATGCACACTTTCTCTGACCCGGCACAGGCCACTCCCTGAAGCACTGTTTCTATTAAGAAAATGGTGAGTAAAGCAAAACATCCACTGACGGGAGAATAAAGAAATAAAACGTACTGTGCTTATTCTGCAGAATACAGTGGTTAGAGAAGTAACCAGATCTGTACATACCAGTATAGAGCCCCAAGATACACATAGTTAAGTGCGAAGTCAAAATAGACCGATGCAGCGGCCATCTGTAAAACGCCAGAATGATACCGTTCCCTGATGATACCAGGCGGCCATGTGAAGGATGGGTGGGTGTGTGGGCCTGTGGAGCTGGTCGCCTCTGCGGAGAACAGGAGGCAACAGGGCAGTGATGGCTGCTTAGAGGAACTTTACTTCCATCTCAGTGAGTTATTAGAAAAAAAAAAGGAGGGGGTTAGTTACTACTTCTGGAGGGTGGGGAAGTGGGAGTTTATTATTTGTCCTTTTCTGATGACTTTCCAGCTGTCTGTCTGCAGTGAGCTTCCTGTGTGCGCGACCACGTGCTCCGTCCCAGGACCACGGGCGGCCCTGCACACACTGAGGACCGCATGATCCTAGACCTGATGTGCGTCTCAGCGTGACTTTAGCCTTAAGTGACAGACAGACTCGGTCTTACCCTCTTGTGAGCCGAGGCTCATAGCATTCATCGGCATGACTATTTATAAGCAGAACTGCATGGAAAACACTTTCTCCATGGAGACAAGGACTTCAAGAGGGACCCAACTGTTGCACAGAATTTCAGTTCAGTTCAGTCGCTCCGTCGTGTCTGACTCTTTGTGACCCCAAGGACCGAAGCATGCCAGGCTTCCCTGTCCATCACCAACTTCCTGAGCTTGCTCAAACTCAGGTCCATGAAGTTGGTGATGATAACCCAAATCCCTTTTCGCTAGCACCATCTGGTGGAAAAGAGAGGAAACCTCATCTTGAATAAAACCCCACTGCTATGAAGCAAGTCAGCAACCGTGTGCATTCTTAAGCACCATGTTCAAACTAAATTCTTCAGCCCACAGGTTAGATATGAAAGGTCTGCTCTTTTTGTTTCTCCTGCTTTGATTCCCTCTTTGAAAACTTCTGTAATAGACGATGGTTCTTCCTCACTATACTGTTCTGCAACTACAAGCCACATTCATCTGTATCTCAAACCCTCCAGAGTCCACAGTTACAACAGTTGATTTCCATAGTAAACATTTAGTGTTGTTTGCTTTCACGTAAACAATGATAGTAGGTTTCCTTTAAAGGACTATAACATACTGTCACACAAATATGGAGTGGAAATTACAAGTTCCTTCTTCCAAGCACTGGATGAAGACAGAAAAAAAAAAAAAATACAGTATCTTACCATGAGTCAAGAAAACAGGTTAGATTTTTCAGACATTAAAGAAAAACATTAAAAAAAAAAAAAGATGTTAAAAAAGCAAAAAAGCCCAAAAACCCCCAAGACCATAGTAACAGGGTTATTTATGCCCCAATTCAAGATACTGAGTTCCCTCATCCATTTACAATACAGAGAGCTTACTGAGCAGGGTGGTAAAATTACCCCGGAAAATTCCAACTGTACCTGCACCAAAAAAGTCCATTTTCGATGGTTTTCCATTAGTGTTTCACATGGCTCTGATTCCACTCGAGTTTTATAACCTGTTGTAACGGGCAGCTTTTTAACTGCTTCCAAGTCTGCATTAGCAGAAGATGGAAGTAAAGTCAGAGGCACTCCCTCAGAGGCTCCCATTTGTTAAGATCTCCATGCAGATGATTTAGATTTAGGGAGTTTTGCTCACCCCGGCCAGGTGGCCCTGCAGGTTCACACACACACACTGGGCGGTTGGTTTCCCCTTGCCTCCTTTCTCAAAGTTTAGGATGAAGACAGTCATCCCTGTGTTAGGGCTGACGGACATGAGCTCAGACCTGCTCAGAGTCGCTGGGAACGAGCACTTGAGGTCGGTTAGAAAGTAATCCAACAGGCTCCGCATGTAGGCACCATGACTCACGACTAAGACACTGGCCGCTAGGCCCGGGGTGCCGCTGTCCGAGTGAAATGTGGAGGCACAGTTTTTCCCTAAAGGAAATATCTCTGCCAGGGAGTTTTCCAGACAGCTGCTCGGGGCTTCCTGGGAAAACTCTTCGTTTTGACCGGCTTCTTTCAGGATCAGTTGACAAAGAAATTCAAAAAAGTCTTTTCCACGCATTTTCAGCTGCAATGAAAGAAAAAAAAAGGTGAAATAAAGTGACATTAATGATGATCTTAAGACATACACAGGTTTCCCTGGTGGCTCAGATGGTAAAGAATCTGCCTGCAACGCAGGAGACCCGGGTTCAATCCCTGGGTCAGGAAGATCCCCTGGAGAAGGGAATGGCAACCCACTCCAGTATTCTTGCCTGAAGAATTCTACAGACAGAGGAGCCTGGCGAGTTACCATCCATGGGGTCAAAGAGTTGGACACAATTGGCCGAGTAACACTTAGGATATCAACAGAACCGATTTTTCTGTAAGTCAGTAATACTACAGAAGCAGATGAAACTCTATTTCTATTCATTCAATCAGTACTTCCACTGACACTAGTGAGTAAGTGCCCAATATATTTCTGGAACCATGAGAGCACTCTGGGGGCAAAGGTGAGTAAGATACAATGCCTAACTCCTGACTTGAAGCAAACAGAAGGTCGTGAAACAGCGTCACCTAGGAAACTGAATCCAACACTTCTGAAGTTCAATGACAGCAAGGATGAAAAGCCGTCCCTCGCTAAACTCATATGAAGTCCTTACAAGGAAACTATGAAAATTAAAAATAGGGAGGAAGATGATCACCCATAACACAACTCAGCAGCAGAACACTCCAGGGGCTACGATGTCACCAGGAGGGGTGGGGGCGGGGAGGCGTGACGACCCTGCGCCCGAGTCTATAGGCTGCCCGCCCTCCTGAGCAGCACACACCAGCTTCACTGACCCCTCTGTCACTGCAAAGACTGCCGCTCCCCGTTCTTAACGAGCCCATCTAATAACCCATTTCCTCAAATCCATGATCAGAAATGATGCCAAATTAATAAACGAGATAGACAGGACAGATTAAAAAGGGGGGAAAATACGTTATCATGCAGAGTTGTTTTGTGAACCAAACAACTTGCAAATTGCTTAGCTAAAATTCAGAAACATCTCGCTCACAGGACGAGTCAGGTTTCAGCTACTCGAATGTCGACAAGCTTGTGGACATGGCCACTTTCTCCCGGGCTGCGTACCTGGTCCAGGGTCTCTCCTCCGGGTGGTGTGAACGCTGGGCACTCCTGCCCTGCCGCTTTGGCCATCGCCCTCAGCTCGCTCAGCGGCCTGCCTTCCGCGGCCCCATATTTCTGCAATGATCCAACAGACAAAAGTGCCTCAAGGGGAATTTGCAATACACAGACAATTAAGTACATGTTTACAGCACACTTTCAGCTTACTTTATCCTATCTCCTCTGAAAAGATGCAAACCCAGATCCATGTGACTTCAGAGCTTGTTAGCTGTTTAGGCTCTTAAAAATCAAGCCGCAGCAAAATGCACAAGTCACAGAGGAAATACCAATGGCCAAGAAATATGGGAAATCTACCTTCTCAGGAATCCATAGTAAGAAAGACTAAAATGACACCTTTCATAAGTCATTAAATCAGAAGACTAAAAAGACCACTAACAGCCAGTGTTGATGTAGGAGGATCAGAGGCTGGGAAGAGAACTTTTCACTTTTAAACTCTTCTATACTAACTCCTCACAAGTATGCCTTGCTTTTATAATTTAAGATGCCTCTTGCCGATGATTTTAATGATTAAATAAGACACTATTCACGAGAGTAAGTAAGAGTAATTGCCACACAGTAGATTCTTCATGTAATAGCCAATTTCACATCCCAAGCAGGAAGGCATTTGATTTCTAGCCATGGGATAAACTGAGTTGCTGTACTGATATTTTATGGTAGAAGGACAACATATAAGTAAGCTGTTAAAACTTACCCTTTCTCGAAGTCTTGAATCATACTTTACTGTCATATCTTTGCAAAATTTGCTCTTCTCCAAAATCCCATGCACGGTCTGCAAATCAAAAAGACAACCATTTCTTTTCTCATAAAAATAATCCTTATTGGGGAATCCCCTAGCAAGCCAATGATCAGGGCATGCCTGCTTCCATTGCAGGGGTCGCTGTTCAGTTCCTAGTTGGGGAACTAAGGTTCTGCATGACACGCACCCCACCGCCCCGGAAAAAAAATTATTCTGGGAGGGCTCAGGATGATATCATAGGAGGACCCTCAACTCACCTCCTCCCAAGGACAAGGAAAACCTTAAAAGGCTAACAGTAGATTTTCTAGTAGAAATCTTACAGGTCAGAGGTAGTGGTGTGACATATTCAAAGTGCTGAGAATTCCAGCTAAGAATACTCTACCCAGCAAGGTTGCTCAGAATTGAAGACAAGATCAAGATTTTTCCAGATAAACAAAAGCTAAAGGAGATCATCACCATGAAACCAGCCCCACAAGAAATATTTATGGTGCTTCTTTAAGCTGAAAAGAAATGGCACTGATCAACAGTAAGAATACATGAAAGCAAAAATCTTATTGGAGAAGGTATATATATTAATGTAATAAAGGTTGTAGATCAATCATTTATAAAACAAAGTTATTTACTCACAAATACATATATGTATCAGATATACACACACACATATATAACATACACATTTATAATTTTCTCCCTCCCTGTTTCTTATTTATGCTTTGTTCCAAGAAACTTTTATAAAGACTTTCCTCCTGTGTTTTCTTACAGAAGTCCCATAGCTTTAGCTTTCAGACATGTTCTATGATCGGCTGCAAGTTAGTTTTTGTGTACTGTGTGAGTTAAGAGTCACATGTCATGTTCTTTCAGATGGCTGGCCCATTGTTTCAACACCTTTTATGGAAAAGACCACCCTTTCAACCACAGAATTATCTTGGCATCTTTGTCAAAGTCCAACTGACCAAAAACACTGAATAAAAAAGCAGGACCATGTAAGTGTGGGTCCCTCAACTTGTGCTTGAAAGAGTCTTTATTTCACCTTAATTTTCAAAAGCACTTTTGAGTTGTCATTTCTTCAAAGTATCTTTTACCTTCACACTCACCCCACCTCTCTTCCCTGTTTCCCTTTTGAGACTTCAACTGTGTGTAATACTGCACTGCCTGGTACCGTCCCACAGTTCAGAGACTCTTCATTTTTCCTTTTCCAGCCTTTTTTCCTTCCACAGTTAATTATGGAGTGTTCCGTTTCCATGGCTTCCCATTCACTGACCTCTTCTTCTACAGTGGCTAACCTACTGCTAACTCCACCCTGTGAAATGTTCATTTCAGAACACTGTATTTTTCATCTCTAGAAGATGGAGTTGCTTCTGCCGTCTCCTACTTCTCCCCTCATGCTGCTCCTCCGAGGGCAGTTTAGCCTCACTGTGAAGGGGGGACGCGCTCTCTGTATTCAGCAAAGCCTCCACTTGTGCTGTGGGAGCTCTAACGCCTCCCCACATTGTGTGGGCCCCAGGAATTGACTGGACAACTGCACCCCAGGGACTGTTCTCCCCCGGAGTCCTGTTTTCTGCCCTCGTGTGGTTCCAGCCACACCTGTGCAGACTAACTGTTCACCAGAGACTGATGAGGACTTCTACACACGTGTCTAGAGTCTTCTCTGTGCATTTCTCTTTCCAGCACTCTGCCCCACAGATTTTAGTTACTTAAGCCTTCCAAATTCCAAGCTTTGTCCCCTCAACTTGGAGACCACTGACCTCTAGTTGGCTGCTTTTGCAGAAGTCTGGGGATCACTTCAGTCAGAAAACCATGACAACTGAGGGTTCATCCCCTTTGTTTCACTCCATCTGAGACTGCAGCCCAGGCTTCCTGGAGTCCACTACCTGAAAGCAGTTGTCTCCCAGGTTTTGTCTTGTTTTCTGGTTGTTTGTTGGGGGAGGCTATATTCCAGCCCTGTTATTCCCCCATGGTAGTCACCAAAGTTTCCTTCCCTTAGCTTTCAGAAGTTGATGTGGTTTTTTCAAACCTCTGGGATTGTTTTTATAGTAATGTGTTCCCTAAAGATATTTCACACATCTTTTATTTCTTTATAGCAACATAACTGCTTTTTAAGCTCTGAGTTCCAATATCTAATGTCTCAGTCGTTAAATCTCTGTCATGTTTCCACTGGGTTTCTCTCACAACACCCTCTTTGCCTTTTTTTGGCATTTTATGAGACATTCCCCTCCAAGCTGCTCTGACTAAATTACCAAAATAAAATAAAATATAAAAGTGAAATAAAAAGAACTTCTGTCAGTGAGGAAAGGGGATTGGGGATGATGTTTGTGTGCGATTTAATTCTCTATGAACTCTGGGAGGAAATTTCTCAAGGTTACAACCGTTGAAACTTTGACTCTCGAGCCTCATCCTTGACTAAACTTACCTGCTTTGTCCTTAGAAGGTCACTGGAGAAAACATGAGTAAACTTCACATCTTTAAGAAATATACCAGCAGCAGCTGCTTGTTTAAATCCGGTTTCTGAAAGAGGCTCATCTATTCCTTGTCCTGCAGTATTAAGAGAAGGAACAGTAACGTTCAAATATATAACGGATGCAAATAAAAATCACACCTAAGAGAATATAAAGAGCATCTATCTATACTTTATCAAAAGACTTCCTTGAGTACTTTCCACGTAACTTTTCAGAAAACTAAAAGCAAGCAAAATTAAGCTATAATCCCTACAGAGGTTCAGGTATCCAAGTGTTTTCCAGAAGAATGTCTGCCTGACGGGAACTGGTGGGTGATGAGACTGCCTTCAGTGCCCCTGCCCTGGACCGCCCACCACTCTACCAGCCTGTTTCATTAGTGCTGCCTCTGACCTACCTTCTTGGCCCAGCTGCTGTATTTGGGTGGTTGGATCATCGCCTAGAGAAGTTTTCCTTCTTTATCTCCACCGTTCAAATTCAGTAACATACAGTACTACAAGTCATTCTCCATAAAGGCCGACAAGCCTTCTACCCACTTAAAGCAAACATCAGTTCAGCTAGTGACACCACACATAGGACAATAACCCATCGTGAATGAGGGTCAGTGGAAACAGTGGGTAACAGACCAGAAGTTCAGACATGGAAATCAGCAGAGACTGCACACTGAATCACAAAAACAAGCAACAATAAGTCCTCAAAACCCAGACAGGTTGCCAATGCAAGGGACACAGGTTTGATCCCTGGTCTGGGAAAATCCCACATGCCTCCAGGCAACTAAGCCTGCATGCCGCAACCACTGAAGCCAGCACAGCAATGAAGACCCAGTGCAGCCAAAAAATAAATCAAAAAAATAAGGCAAGGAAATGGATTCTTCCTTCATAACTTCCAGAAGGAACCAATCTGCTGACACCTTGATTTTAGCTCAGAGACACAGGTTTCAAATTCTGACTACCAGAACTGTAAGAGAATAAATTTGTGTGGTTTTAAGCTACAAAAAAAAAAAAAAAAAACAGACAGGTTTCTAAAGGAACTAAACACATCTTTTAACAATGAAAAACGGAATTGCTGTGGAGGAAAAAAAATATCCCTCAGTGGATAAAAGGAAATTCATTAAGCTGAGAAGCTTCACAAACCCAAAGGTAAGACTGTGCTCCCCCCCACCACAGATACAAGGAGATAAGAGCACATCTCAGACGTGTTAGAGACACAGAGGAAGGACAGAATTCCTAACTACAGCTAGTGGGAACTCCAGAAAGAGAGAAAATGGAGAACAGGAAGTATGAAACAGAACAGGAAGTGCGAAATGGAGAACAGGAAATGTGAAATGGAGAACAGGAAGTGTGAAACAGAACAGGAAGTGTGAAATGGAGAAGAGAAAATGCGAAATGGAGAACAGGAACTATGAAACAGAACAGGAAGTGTGAAATGGAGAACAGGAAATGTGAATTGGAGAACAGGAACTATGAAACAGAACAGGAAGTGTGAAATGGAGAATACAAAGTATGAAATGGAGAACAGAAATCAGGAAAGACATAAAACTACAGATAAGATGTACACTGAGAAGGATAAATTATTAAAAAACAAAAAAATACCCTGCCAGATTTAGTAAGAGAAACCGTAGAAAACCAAAATAAAAAGATTTTAAAAACAGCTACAGAGAAAGACAGACAGGACACCATGGGATATGATGGGACACCATGGACTTGATGGGATACCCAGCATGGGACACCATTTGGCTGAAAGAAGATCTCTGGACAGGAGCAATGGAAGCCAAAAAAAAAAAAAACCCAGCGAGTAATAGCTTCCAAAAGAACCATCAGTCTAGAACTGAACTGAAAAAGACTAAAGAGAATAAAAACAGAACTGCCTGGAATAGAACTGATTGAAACTATCTTTACACACCAACCAACTTACACAAGAGGACTTCTCAGAAAAGATGCTCCAGGAATGAAGGTCTGAAATGCGAAAGAAATGGTGACAGGAGAAACTGGCAAATACAGCTGTAAATTTAAACAAACACTAAGTAAAATAATAATGCCTAGGTTGCACAGGTGAAAAAGGCCAGGAGACTAAAACAACAGCACATGCCATCGCATTTTTCAGGAGAGAGGATATTTATCTCATACTTTAGTAGGCATGAATGGTAATGATATAAAGACAGCTATTAAAAGAACAGACATGGCTTATTTCAAGGCCAGAAGGCAAGGTAACAGTGGGTTGGATAAGGAAAAGAAAAGTAGGCACCTAAGAAGTAAAGGTTAGTGAGAAAGAAAAGATTAGAAAAAGAAGGAAAAAAAGAATCACAACGGAAAAATCCAAACACACAAGAAACCAGAGTCAACATGGACAAACCACTCTCACCAGTTAACAAAAAGACTGCTTTTTTTTTTTTTTAAAGAGAACCAAAATCAGCTGCCTACCATTTACAAGGTAACACTTAGGACACCAGTACCCAGCAAGGCTGAAAAGAAAGGCATGGGAAAATACACACCAGGAAAATTTCAACCCCACATAGCTGGAGCTGTCATATCACTCTCAGAAATGCATGACTCTGTGACAGAAGTCTTATTAAGGATTGTGAAGATCACTATAAGCAATGTTCAATTCACCAGGAAGACTGGAGCAATCTTTAAACTTGTATGTGCCTAATAAAATAGCCTCGAAGTATATAAAAGCAGAATATATAAAGCACAAAATGAAGGTATTTAAGGATGAACTGGCCATCACAGTGGGAAATTCAATATATCTCATGCATAAACTGACCCCTTAGGTCATATAGGCACATGAGTAAATTTACAAAACTAGTAAAGTATGGGAAGATTTGAATGACAAAATCAAGGTTAATGATTTGAAATAAAATTCCAAACCCAACAATTTGAAAACAAAGATTTTTCTCTAACATATAGTAGATTTATAAAAACTGACCATGCTAACCAATTTCAAAGACAGATTACCAAATAAACCATATTGTCAAAACAGAAAGCAATCACACTGTAAGTCAATCACAAAAGATAAAGAACAAAACCAAAGAGCCCACTCATTTGGAAATTTAAAAAGCAGTTCAAAATAACTTACAGGTCAGTGAAGAAATCATAATGGAAATTTAAGACACTTGGTACTGAATACTTACTAGATTACTATAAATCAAAACTGTAGGCATGCAATAAAAATGGTACTTAAAACCATATAAGCTTGAATGCTTACAAAAATTAAAAGAAAAAGAAGGTGGCTGTAGCAGAAGAAACTAAACATCTAACTTCCAAAGTTAGGAGAAGAACACAAAACAAATCTAAAAAACAGGTCATGAACATGGAAACTTTTATTCATGTTCTACTGTCAGTTTCAAATGAAATGAGACAAGTGAGCAGGGCCCATGAACAAACAAGGTAATGAGTCCTGAAGATGCTCTGGGTGGGGCCCAGGTCAGTGGGAAACAGAGACTGGTTTCCAGCAGGAGGCAAGCACGTGGGGTATTAAAAATCAGCTCCTGCAAACACCAGATGTCTCTAGCCCCAAAATATAAAACTCAACGCTTGTATCATCAGAGCACAGAAATAGCATGTCTAGCTGAAAGATATTCTTCAGAAGCCAGACCAGCTGGATCACAGGGAGATTAAAAGATCTGAACCCAAATTAACAGAACAAGCTGGGGTGAGGGGGTGGGGGGGTATAGTCAGAATAAAGTAACAACCCCATGTGAGAACAGAAATTCTCTTTTTAAACTATTTCTTTGTTACTACTAAAAATAATACATCTTAGCAAGAAAAATACCATTAACACCAGCCAGTAAATTTTTGTTTCCAAATATGAAGTCATTTTAAACCCTGGCAGATATATTTGAAGACAATTAGACCCAATATAACTCCTTAATCAGCTGAGAGGTTGCTTTGAAGCTGCCCACAAATAACTTGGAGCACTGGTCTTCACATCCAATTCATTCAAGAGACTTACTCCTCTTGAGTACCATCTACTCTGATCATATTTCTGTGATCATATGCTTTAATTCTGTAATCCCAGGTCACAGTCCAGACCTGCCCCCAGTTCGTCCTATCCCATCGGATCTCTTTAACCTGCATTTCACATGGACACGAACACAGAGAACTAAAATAAAAGTCAGAGAATACCAACCTTGAATTATTTTCTCCTTGTTAAGTCTTGTTTCTCCACTAAAACAGAAAGACAGGGAGAAAGCGTTTATTATCAAATTAGGTTACATTTGAAATGAGGAAAAAAACACCTGACATTGAAAGGTCATGATATTTGTAAAGATAGCATATTGTACATACGTGAGAATCTAACCTGTAAAAATGACATTTATTCTAAACTACTACCTGCAGTTGTCTATTCTATGTACCAGACTGATGAGCTACAAATTTCGAACTGTTCCAAATTAAAACATATAGATAAATCTCAAGTGAATTGAAGGCAGAGAACGCTATTTTTCAAAGTATATGTACAGATACACAATGGAATGTCACTCAGCCATAAAAAGGAATGAAACTGAGCCAGTTGTAAGTGATGTGGATAAACCGAGAGCCTGTCATACAGAGTGAAGTAAGTCGCAAAGAGAAAAACAAATATTGTATATTAACACATATATATGGAATCTAGAAAAAAGAATTGATGCACCTCCTCGCAGGGTAGGAATAGAGAGAAAACGCATCTGTGGTCATGGTGGGGGGTGGGGGTCGGGGTGGGAAGATGAATTGAGTAGCACTGGGATACACACACTACCATGTGTACAACAGACAGCCACAGGGAAGCTGCTGCATAGTGCAGGGAGATCAGCTCAGTGACAACCTAGAAGGGAGGGATGGGAGGGAGGCAATGTATGTATACATGTATCTGACTCATTCTGTTGTACAGCAGAAACTAACAAAGCAGTTATACCCCAATTTTTTAAAAAAGTGTATGTACAGACAGAAAATTTCTGTTAAATCATCTTCTGACCATAACTACTTCCCCAGGCATCAGGACCAAAGAGGGCAGCCAGTCCATCCATTCTCCTGCTGGGCTGAGCAAGCAGGCCCAGGGGACCACAAGTGGAGCGGGAAGGGGTACAGGCACCCACAGCCCCCACCCTGGTTCCTGAGTCCTTGAGTGGCTCCAGCTGCTCCGCTCTGCAGTGCTAAGCAATTACAAAACCAAACCCAGCCCATTCTGAAGCAACCAGCAGAGTGACAGGATGAGAAATACTGTCACAAAATAACTGGATTGAGGCTGGACAGGGGAGGGCAGGGGCACACTGGTGTTCTATGGGGGCATATTTTGCTTTCAAATCACCTTTTAAACATCACAGAGATGCAATCTAGCAACAGAATTCCAGCTCCCCCCGCCAAAAATGTGCACAAATATTTACTTTTACAGCTTTTAAATGTTTGTTAACAAACCAAACATTTCTCCAGAGGTTTGTACAAATCCTTGAAGCAACTGGTTATAGCTAGCTTATTTGGGGAGTGGGAAAGAAAAGAGGGTGGCTAGAATAGGTTTACTATTAATCCACTTCCCTAACCAAAGCTTGGCTTGTAGCAGCCACAGGGAAGTTCAGGGGAGTGGAAAGGTCAGAGGAGTATATTTTGAAGGAGTCAGGAGTAACAGTGCTCATCTTCAAAATCTGCAGTGTGATTCACTTCCAAGACAGATATCCGACTCTGCAAGAATCCCAAGCCTTATGACAAGAAGCCAAGTCTGATGACTGGCCATTTATAGGCCCTCAAATACGCACCGTTCGTTTGGGGGATGATCACACTGTTCTTCACTTTAAAAGACATTTTATTTTGTTAGTTATGGTTTATGCTCAATAGTGCTTCTCTAGAAACCATGTAAGATAGCTTAATTTCCTGATCACATCCTTTTAAATAATTCAAATTCAACAGACAAGTACTTGGGTTTGCCACAAGAGAGACAAATTATGGGACATTAGTGTACAACTGGGGCGAGTTGTCAAAGTAGATATGCTCTGGTGTACACAAGAATGGAGTATACTCTCCCACTATTCAACCATGAATACACAGCCTTACAGGGATTCCTCCACACCAATGAATTCATTTGAAAATAGAGAACTTTGCAAGGGCTAAGAATGTGAGGACATTCACTGGATGGTTGGGTAGGAGTTAGGGAATGTAAAATACCCAATTCATGATACATTTGTGTCTATATTAGATTAGTCCTAGCTGCATAGGCTCTTCCAATGAATCAATCCTACTCCCAGATAACACACATCACAGGAGCGTAACAATTACATGTATCTTTATAAGAGTTTACAGATGACCCAATATTCAACCTGCCTGCTCTATTAGAACAAAACAATGATTCGCATTCAATGAAAACTAAGTAACTGCCAAAAGAGGCAGAATTAAAAAAAAAAATCAGTGTTGCTGTCAATACCTATACTAATTCATTATCTTTCAGGAATTAAAAGTAAATTAAATTTAGTTTGTAAAAATGTTTAAAGAGCTAGCTAAAAATGGAAATGAAATGGGATGGTTTTGCAGGCAACTAATTGCAAACACCTACAAGAACATTTCAAGGGAACGAGAGGCCTTTCTGCATTTCTTGGGGTTTTCAACAATGCTGCTCTAAGACCATGAGAAACTATAGCTCAATCAGATGAGTAGACTTGAAGTCTGAAATCTGGGGTATTCTGTTCCAACAATGATACACACTGGCACGCTTACGTTCAAGGATGCTGATGAAGAGCAACATGCTGACAGTAACAGCACAAGATTCATAAAGGGTTTGGCTGAGTTTAAATTGCAGTTAAAAAGTTTTCTTCCATTATCAGAAGAGTCACCATTCAATAAAAATTCAGTTCAGTTCAGTCACTCAGTTGTGTCCGACTCTTTGCAAACCCATGGACCGCAGCACACCAGGCCTCCCTGTCCATCACCAACTCCCGGAGTCTACCCAAACTCACGTCTATTGTGTCATCCAACTATCCAACCATCTCATCCTCTGTCATCCCCTTCTCCTCCTGCCCCCAATCCCTCCCAGCATCAGGGTCTTTCCAATGAGTCAGCTCTTCTCATCAGGTGGCCAAAGTATTGGAGTTTCAGCTTCAACATCAGCCCTTCCAATAAACACTCAGGACTGATCTCCCCTAGGATGGACTGGTTGGATCTCCTTGCAGTCTTCACCAACACCACAGTTCAAAAGCATCAATTCTTTGGCACTCAGCTTTCTTTATAGTCCAACTCTCACATCCATACATGACTACTGGAAAAACCATAGCCTTGACTAGATGGACCTATGTCGACAAAGTAATGTCTCTGCTTTTTAATATGCTGTCTAAGTTGGTCATAATTTTCCTTCCAAGGAGCAAGCACCTTTTAGCATCTTGTTTCTTTTCCTGAAAGAATCATCAATTTTTAGCTTTGAGAATTCTGAAGGAGGAAACTAACTTTACCCTAGCAATTATTTCAACACTTTCTCTGTAATTTCTTATGGATGCATGTATGCTCAGTGGCTAAGTAGTGTCCAACTCTTTTTGACCCCATGGACTGCGGCCTGCCAGGTTCCTCTGTTCATGGGATTTTTCCAGGCAAGATTACTGGAGTGGGTTGCCATTTCCTCCTCCAGTGGATCTTCCCGACCCAGGGATCAAACCTGCATCTCCTGCATTACAGGTGGATTCTTTATCATTGAACCACCAGAGAAGCCCTTCCCCATGAACAGAGCAGAACAAAGCAAAGCATACTGTTCTTATCACTTTTCAGTCAGATCACAAGAAGTAAAAAGTAGCTTCTGAAATGGCTGGTGATAGTCAAGCAATCCACAAACACTAGGTTTTAATTCTAAAATAGGAGGCAAAAGGGCAAAGCAATTAAGAGGATGGGCCACAGTACTGCCGCCTGAGTTTAAACTCCTTCCCCAACTCATCAGGTGATTTTAAGCAAGTCACATGACCTCTGTGTCTGTTTGCTCATCTGCAAATTGAGAGGCCCTCTTTACCTCACTGGATGGCAGTCAGAATTTAATTACAACAGTACCTGGCAAATACTAATTCATTAAGACTGATTTTTAAATTAATTCCTCAAAGGATTTCTTTGAGGAAACAACTTTACACCTTTCAAGCGCTTAAGAAGGGAGGAGGGGATAAAATATACATTCATGTAACAATTGTCTATTAAGCATCTAAATAGGGATCAGCTTGGTTTAGCCTAGATTTTCTACGGCTTCTGGGCTTCAATTTTATGTCAGGCACTGGGTCAGGCATCTAGAAAGTGCTCCAAATTAAAAGGAAAGTGCAATCAAGACTAGTTCCTGCTCTGTTACGGCCTAGCTAAAAGTCCTTCGAAGGTCACACAATAGTCATAAACCATTCTATAAAATGCAGAGGAATGGGGTGGAGAAAGGATCTCCATTTCTAACTTGGCCATTAAAATTCTGTGAGTCCTAAAGGGACAACTTCAGATGACAGCTGAGATAACCTTCCTATTAAGGAAGAACAGGACCAAAAAGAGTCAGAAACTAAAGGCAGGCTTGACAAGGTTAGACCATTCTGATGTTCCTTGCAAGCTCCAAGAAGTCAAAAATGGAATCTTAGTTACCGACAACCCAGTCCTCTGCTACACAGAACCCACTCAGAATGCTGGTTCCATTAACCACACACACACACACTGGAGGACTCGCTGCATTTTTATTAGAGTTGTCCTTACAGAAATGAAAGTTCGTTAATTCTCATACATGCTCCACCCCCCTCCCCCGTGCGATGCACTTGACCTTTCTCACATTTAATGATCACACTAACCCAGTGGTGTGGGGCCCATCACTATCCCCATTTTATAAATCAGGAAACTGAGGTCGTGTAAATTAAGTCGGTTAAAGGAAGCCCAGGTTACAAGGCTCCCAGGTGGAGCCCAGATTCCAGTCTATGTCGCCCTTGCTTCAAAAATCTGTGCTCCTAACCGCCCTGAACTCAGTTAACACCGGGAAAATATAGAGTCGAAAAGGAAAAGGCAGGCATGGCAAGACATGTCAGCATTTGGCCCCTATAACTTATGTTAAAAAATATTTGTTGAAGGCGGTGCAGGCGGCTGAGAGCAGGGCGAGGCGCACCACCCTCCCCCCACCCCAGCTCCTCCCCCAGTGATCGGAGCTCTGCGGGGAAGAAGAGAATCTCAGACCCGAGCCTGGGGGACCGATGGGACAGAGTGGGCGCAGAGCCTGCAGGGGAAACTTCAGCCCCGGGCCAGTCCACGCTGCAGACCCTGGGAGCCCAGCTGGGGGCAAACGCGCCGCCCGGGAGGTGCGGGGACTCGACTGTGTCTTCGGATTCAGCCGCCCCCCAACTGAAGCGACTTAGCAGCAGAAGCAGCAGCAGCAGCTGGGGTGGGATGGGGTGGGGTGGGGAAGGGGACCTTGACCTAACTCCTTCCGACGTCCCTGTCCCCACGTACTGGGACACCGATGACATCTGACCCCTGGCCTTCTACTCGGCGTCGCTGGGCCAGGAGAACCGGAAGGGGCTAACTCACGGGGAACATCCAGAAATCGCCCAGCCGAGCCGCGGGGGAACACACGGGACAGGACTGGCGGGGTGGGTGCGGATCCTCGACCCCCCCGGCCCAGTCCCGCAGAACGCCACGGAAGGGACAGGGCAGCCCGCGACGGCCATACTCACTGCCGGACCACGGTCAGAGCGAAGCGCATCATCCCGCCCACGCCCGGAGCCAGAGGAGCAAGGCCCGCAGGGCCGCCAGAACCCGCACCCGCTGCCTGCACTGGGCCCGCCGAGCCCCGCCGCTTCCGCACCGCGCCGCCGGCCGGCTCCGCAGCTATAGGTGAAGGCGGCCTCTATGTCACTAACCCGACCAGCCAATCAGGGAGGCGGGGGCCCCGGCAGGTCGCGAAGACTGATGGGCTGCCAGATCCCGCCCAGGGCCGTGGCGCGTGCGCCGCTGCACGCAGGCCCGTGATTGGAGCGCGGCAGGTGCTGTGGCCCCGCCCCGGACCAGGCAGGCGGGTCGCACCCGGGCAAATCCAGGGAAGGAGGCTCCGCGATGATAAGGCTGCCGCAGCTCCGATTGCGGTTGGTTTGATTGGAGGCTGGAGTGCGGCCAGCAGTCCTGCTTCGTGAATGTACAGCTCCAGACACGTTCGGTCCTAGGGTTTATGTGACCCGCTGGCACTGGGGGCGTGGGGTCAGCAGCGTGCTTAGACCCACCCGGCTTCAGCCCCCAGCTCCGCCTAGACTGACCTGCTCCGGGCGCGAAGTCTAGGCTTGGCCCCTGGCAGCCCTATCTGGACTAGGCCTCCTGCTTCGCCTGCAGGGCCCGATTTTTACCAAAAATCCTGCGAAGCCACTTGCTGGAGAATCCTTCCACCCTTGATGTCTAATCAAACTCCTCTTCCTCCATTCTGTTAATAAAATCACGTTCCTCTCCGTCCCCGTTCCGCCAATATCTCACCTAGTTCCTCATGGTCATATTTTCCATTCTCTACCTCATTTTCTACTCTATCCTTCACCCTGCACCCTTGGCTATACATGTGTGCTCAGCTCTGTGTAATTCTTTGTGATCTTATGCACTGTAGCCCGCCAGGCTCCTCGGTCCATGGAATTTTCCAGGCAAGAATACTGGAGTAGGGTGCATTTAATTTCCTTTTCCAGGGTATCTTCCCGACCCAGAGATTGAACCTGCGTCTTTTGCATTGCAGGCAGATTCTTTTCCCCTGAGCCTCCAGGTAGCCCACCTTGGCTGTAAATTTCCATTTGTCCTTGTGTTCAGAGTTGTATTCATTTGTCAAATTAATCAAACATCTTTTAAAAAATTAGCTTTATAATATAAGAGGAGAGAATTGTTTTGGAAAAATTTAGAAAATTAAAATAATATGAAATTTTTAATTATCCAAGAACTACCTATAAAAATCGTGTATGTTTTCATAAACTTGGAGAATCAGGGAAAAAAACAGTTGAAAAATGAGAATCTTTGAAAGAATGGACATTATTCTGCATTATTCATTCAAGAGTTCAGAGATTACAGTTTATAAAATGAACAAGGAATTCATTTAAACTTTGTTTAGATATAAGCTAGAAATGACCACTGATAAACTTTTGTTGAGAATATATAACATGCTGTTTGTTTGTTTGTTTTAATAAAAAAGGATGCTTTGTTGTGGCAACTCATATGATAGAATTCTGAATTAGTCAGGATAGGCCAAGTTATGGTAACAAATTAATCCTGGGGTTTCCATGGCTTACAACATAAAAGTTTTATTTCTCTCTCATGCTAAATGTCTGACATGGATCAGGAAGGGGCTTTACTCCACAAAGTCCTAAGTTAACAGTTAACAATGACCTCCTTACATGGATTCACAATAACTAGGGCAGGAAGTGAGAACAAATGAGGATGTTGAAACAGTTTTCAGATACTTCATTCAGTGTCCAAAGCTACTCACATGACCCTCTTTAACTGCAAAAGTGGTAGGAAAAGTGAGGAACATGTGAGTGTTCAGTGTGTGGACAATGCCATCCATACAGTGTGTGTCCAAGTCTCCATGGGTTATGCCTTTGGTCCTCTTCCATTCTCCACCATGCCGTCTTCCCAGTGATCCTACCCAGTATATAGATATTATTTCTGTCTCCAGCCTGCAGTCCCCTCCCTCCGCTTTCTCCTTAGTCATTTACTTTTTCTTCCAGTTTTACTGAGATACAATGGACATACAGCACTCTATAAGTTTAAGGTGTGCAACATAATGATGTAACTTATACCCATCATGGGATGACTATCACAAAAAGTTTAGTGAATATCCCTCACTTGTCAAGTCATGTGTTAGTCGCTCAGTCGTGTCTGACTCTTTGCGACTCCCAGACTGTAGCCCACCAGGCTCCTCTGTCCATGGGATTTTCCAGTCAAGAGTACTGGAGTGGGTTGCCATTTCCTACTCCAGGGGATCTTCCCAACCCAGGGATCAAACCCGGGTGTCCCGCATTGCAGGCAGCTTCTTTACCATCTGAGTCACCAGGGAAGTCCAGTAAAACACTAGTGATTATCAGTCAAGTTTGAAATTGTTTCTTTTCCTGAAAGAATCATCTTAGAGACACAAAATTATAGCAAAAAAAAAAAAGGCTTCTCTCCTGAAAAGAACTCTTAGGATTCACTCTGCAGCTGTGTTTATTACCTTTATCATGTTGTACATTACATCTCTAGCACTGATTTATCTTAGGGCTTCCCGGGTGGCTCAGTGGTAGAGAATCCACCTGGCATTGCAGGAGACACCCATTCGACCCCTGGGTCGGGAAGATCCCCTGGAGGAGGAAATGGTAACCCATTCCTGTATTCTTGCCTGGGAAATCCCATGGACAGAGAAGCCTGGCAGGCTACAGCCCATGGGGTCCAAAAAGAGTCAGACATGACTTAGAGACAAAAATTTATTTATCTTGTAACTTGAAGTGTGTACCTTTTGACTGCCTTCATCTAATTTCCCCACTCCTCAGTTCAGTTCAGTTCAGTTCAGTTCAGTCGCTCAGTCATGTCCGACTGTTTGCGACCCCATGAATCGCAGCACACCAGGCCTCCCTGTCCATCACCAACTCCCGGAGTTTACTCAAACTCATGTCCATTGAGTTGGTGATGCCATCCAACCATCTCACCCTTTGTCATCCCCTTCTCCTCCTGCCCCCAATCCCTCCCAGCATCAGGGTCTTTTCCAATGAGTCAACTCTTTGCATGAAGTGGCCAAAGTACTGGAATTTCAGCTTCAGCATCAGTCCTTCCAATGAACACCCAGGACTGATCTCCTTTAGGATGGACTGGTTGGATCTCCTTGCAGTCCAAGTTACGCTCAAGAGTCTTCTCCAGCACCACAGTTCGAAAGCATCAATTCTTCGGCGCTCAGCTTCTTCACAGTCCAACTCTCACATCCATACGTGACCACTGGAAAAACCATAACCTTGACTAGACAGACCTTTGTTGGCAAAGTAATGTCTCTGCTTTTCAATATCCTGTTTAGGTTGGCCATAACCTTCCTTCCAGGGAGCAAGCATCTTTTAATTTCATAGCTACAATCACCATCTGCAGTGATTTTTGGAGCCCAGAAAAATAAAGTCTGACACTGTTTCCCCATCTATTTGCCATAAAGTGATGGGACCGGATGCCATGATCTTAGTTTTTTGAATGTTGAGCTTTAAGCCAACTTTTTCACTCTCTTCTTTCACTTTCCTCAAGAGGCTCTTTAGTTCTTCTTCACTTTCTGCCATAAGGATGGTGTCACCTGCATAGCTGAGGTTATTGGTATTTCTCCCAGCAATCTTGATTCCAGCTTATGCTTCCTCCAGCCCAGCGTTTCTCATGATATATTCTGCATATAAGTTAAATAAGCAGGGTGACAATATACAGCCTTGACGTACTCATTTTCCTATTTGGAACCAGTCTGTTCCATGTCCAGTTCTAACTGTTGCTTCCTGACCTGCATACAGGTTTCTCAAGAGGCAGGTCAGGTGGTCTGGTATTCCCATCTCTTTCAGAATTTTCCACAGTTTATTGTGATCCACACAGTCCCCACTCCTCAGCCCCCAGTAACTACAAATCTGATCTCCCCCCTCCATGGGTTTGTTGTTGAAGTATAATTGACCTAAAACTCTATGTTAGTTCCTGTTACAACATAGTGGCTTGACACATTTCAAAATGATCACCAAGATAAGTGGTTACAACATGTTACCTGTATTCCCCTCACTGAACCTTTAATACCCGCTGACTCATTTATTTTGCAACTGGAAGTTTGTACCTCCTAATCTTTCTCACCTATTTCTTTCCTCCCACTACCCAAATTTTGCCGCCTTTTTGCCCTCTGTATGTATAAATCCATTTCTGTTTTGTTATATGCTGGAATGTAGGTTCTGGGTTTTTTTTTTGGAAGGAAGGGACTCTCTTGTTCTCTTTACATGTGCCTGGAATGGTGACAGTCACGTTGCAAAAGCCCAATCAACATTTGTCATCCACAAAAATCATGTTCCTAAAGAATAAATGGGAAAAAAGGAAAAAACATAAGATAGAAAACTCTTCACTTGGATCCGGGAAGATCCCACATGCTCCTGAGCAACTGAGCCCATGCACACAACTTCCGAGTCTGCACGTCTAGAGCTCATGCTCGGCAACATGACAAGCCACTGCTATGAGAAGCCCATGTACTGCAACGAAGTGGAGCCCCCACTCGCCACGACTAGAGAAAGCCCACGATCAGCAAGGAGGACCCAGAGCAACTAAAAAAATAAAGAAAGGAAAACAAAATGTTTTTAAAGACTCACCAAAATAGAGATGAGGAAATTTGGAGTTAAAGACTCAAAATGGACAAAGCTGACATCAGATGTTAGTCTAAACTACCAAGAGTCTTCAGGACCAACTAAGATTTGGTGCTTTTTCAATTACTTTTAACACCATTACTGTACTTTTAACACCATGACTTTGCTTTTTGCTCCCCTGGCTTTTAAGTTGGAAATTGTCGGGGTTTATGCAAATGTAATAAAAGGGAAAGTCTTGGACTTTTATTGGCAGGGATTTTTTTTTTACACCACCCACTGTCATAATTGATTACATGCTGTACCCTGATGGAAGAACAGAACTTCGAGGCCAATAAAAAGTCACAAATACATGGTAAACCATCTGCTTTGTCCGGCGACTGAGAAATAATAATGTGAGCAGTGATCCAAGCAGGAA